AGTGGATCGGCTAGACCTTCTCCTACACAAAAATGGCACCATTACGACTCCATGGAGTTTCTGCGCGATCTGTGCCTTGTCAAGAAGTAAAAATTAAATATTTTTATTAGGTACGTTTTCAAACTGTTTCATTTTTAACTTGTAATTTTTATATTTCTAGGGGAAAAGCTTCAAATATTGACACTGATGATGACACTTCAAGTATTGGCGAATCAATAAATAATGCAACTGGCGATGGCAATAATGATGAAGAGTTAGAAGTATTAGGTACTTGATTTATATTTATATCTGTTTGAATGTTTAAAAGTAAAATGTGATCTTCAAAAAATAATATGCTGACGCTCGATGCTCAATTTCAACATTAGAAGACGATCATGTAGTCGAAAATACTGCAAAGATTTGTTATTTTTAGTCACATGATGTCTTGTAATGCTGAAATTGAACGTCGAGCGTCAGCGTAAAAAGATATTTTAATAATAATAATAAACAACCAATAAATTATAGGTGCGACCTAAAAAAAAAAAAAAAATATGGGACAGCAGCCCAGTGCACTGGAAAGGATTGCCGATTCGCTCTGTCAACCACCAACTCCATTTGTAATACCATCAGCACCCAACCGATGAAATTGATTCGACTTTAGCAGTTATTGGATGCAGATTAAGATTGATGAATCGAAAGAATCAGTTAGATGTTATTCAACGAATTATGAACTTAACTTATAATGTACTTCAAAAAGAAGATTGATTATTAATTATTTTAGTTCTCTTATTTTCTTATTGATTATTCTATTTTTGCAAAATATGTATGTATAAGTTTTATTTGTTCGCTTCATTTTATTATTGTTTTGGTAAAATACAATATAACAAAGTTTATAAAAGTTTATAAAAAAGTTTATAAAAGCATATTAAAGTTTATAAAAAAGATTGTATGTTATTATAATAAAGTTTATAATAAATTTTAAATTAACCACTGACATTTTATAATTTTTAATGTCATATTACATATTTTCATTTAAATTGCATATATGCAATTAGTAAATGATCATAAAAACTAACAATGATGGAATTGCCACGGTATGGCACCTTCGCTATTAAAATATTTGCAAAATTCTTCTCGAATTTGCATTGCTCGACGAGAACTATTATTAGAACCGCACTGAGTTATATCTGCAAATGCACTATTATTTATACAACCTCTCCAAGAACCTGGAACAAAGCCGTCATCATCTTCCTGATCAATTAGTGTTGGAGTAACGTATTCATTTTCTCCAATATCCCTCCGACGAATCCAATTATGGAGGCATACGATGGCTTTAACAATTAAAATTGTTTTTTCTATACTACAATTGATCGGTCGCTTCAAAATTCTCCATTGGCTGACTAGAATACCAAACGTATTCTCAATTGTTCTTCTAGCTCGACTCAATCGATAATTATAAATATTTCGCTCATTATTTAAACCACCTTTTCCTGGATAAGGCCGGAGCAAATAATCTGTCAACTGAAAAGCTTCATCCCCCACCAGAACATATGGTAAAGGCGGTCCACCTGGGCTGAGAGGTTTTGGTGCAGGTACATTCATTTCCTTTGAATTGAATTTCAGACCCATTTTTGAATCTTTAAAAATACCACCGTCACTGCGGCGACCATAGGCTCCTATATCGACGAACGTGAACATATATTGTGCATCACAGATTGCAAGGAGAACAATACTATGGCTATTCTTATAGTTATAATAAGATGATCCTGCGTTAGGTGGACACTAAAAAAGAAATAAAAAGAATATTTAAATAAAGAATAAAGAATATTGTGGCATTAAACTTGTAATTTCTTCAATGATAAATGTAGCATTGATCAGTGACATTGCCTCAATAATAACATGTTTGCCGTCAATTGCTCCTATGCAATGATTAAAATCCCATTTTTCTTCAAATTCTGTAGCAAGGTGTAGCCACTCCTCTGTAGTTTTTGATGGTGAAATTACTTCCCGACAAATAGAGTTCCATATAGCATTACATGTTTCACGTATAACATTGCTTATTGTCGATACTCCAGCGAGATAATGATACGACATCGAATGCATCGAATCGCCAGTTGCTAAATATCTAAATATAATTAGATCAAATATAATTTTTTAATTAATGACGTAATGCAATTATAAATAAAGATAAGTAAACCTCAATGTTATAGATAATCGTTCTGCGGGAGGCAATGGTTCTCTAATCACGGTTTGTTTAGTGATTGCAGGTGCCACTAAGTGTAACAACTCCTCAAATTGCGTAGCTGTCATACGATAATAATTCCGGAACTTCTCTGGTGTTAATCTCGGCACAGATACATATAAAATCCATGTTCACGTCGTCTTTCTAAATAATGGATCAATCCTAAACCTCTTTTTTTTATTATTTTTTTTCTAAATTTGTACATTCGTTAATGCATACAGCTACTATTAATTTATTTCTCCGTCGTTCCCTCTTCATTTTTATTATACACAATCGCGGCAAGTTGACAGATCCACTTGTGATATCTTTCTTGATATGACATTTTAGAGTATTTATTTTACACAACACGCACAACACAATCAATATAATTGTAAAAAATTTATCGCTTAGCCCATTTACACGAGCGATAGTCAAAGTTAGCGACATATGAAATCACGTGACTCATTTGTCGCTGAATATGAGCGACGAGCGACACCATGAATACGAAGCTTAAATGTCCACTCGAAGTTACTTATCGAGGATCTGTCAGGATCAAAAGGCAGGACGGTATATTAGGTGCAAACACAATAATACAATAACGATATTTATTAATATCATTAACACTCGCGTACATACATCGTGGTACTGATTACCGAAAAACACGACGGACGTGTTGTTACACGAACTGCTCAAACGGCAATTGCCCGGCACACATGCCGTGACACGCTCAAGGATCGCCTATTGCATCAGCTAATCCTGATTGGCCCTTATTAAGGATATTCCTAGGCCTAGGTCGCTAGACGCAGCGCATTAGATAACTCGCGCGTGGTCGCGAGAACCGCGGGAAAGGGGGTACAGTGACGCTCAATCGGCGGCGCTGCACATCATTGCTTACAACTGCAAATGCAATCTCTTGTAATAATTAATTAATAGAACGCATTGCCGATAGAGGAATAAAAAAAATAACAAAAAGAAAAGCAATCTTTTGTGCGTATCTTTACGCAACATTACATGTATTCAGCAGTTTATTACAAAAGTTATAACAAGTGTAGTTAATTTTATCAATGTTTTGTAAAAATTCGTATTAATTGTGTTTTCTCTTTTCTTTATTGGCAATGCGCTTTATTCATTGCAGGAAAAAATTGTATTTACAGATTTTACATCTGACTCCTTTCCAGTATATTGTATTGTCAATAAATATTACATAATTCAACGTTATTATATAATTCTATTTTATGTAATAAAAATGTCCTGAATTAGATCATCCGCTTGCTTTATTGCATCCACTTCGTTGTATTATATATTCCTAGATCGAACCTAAAAAACAAATTATCAATAAGTATTACATGTCTTTATAAGTTTATTGCAAGTTATCATTAAGATTATCATTAATACATAAGTAATTAATTAGTAGAATAATAATACGTATTATCAATTTTATTATTTTTTATGAATTTAAAAACGATATACAATACATAATGAATTTGTTATTCTATTTATAATAACAACTATATTTCTATAGGTCAGGGCCTAATAGAGACTAAATGAAATGGATGTTTATACACGTTTGTCATATATATACATTTATATATATAGATATAATATTTATGATTTTAAATTTCATTTCTGTATAAAATAGCTAAAGTTGAAAATACATAAGATTGAATAATTTGGACTACAACTTCTAAAATATATATTAGTTGGATAAAAATGTTATTATTAAAAGTATAAAAGTATTTTTAATAGCAACACCAGTTGACCCTATAAGGTATAAATGATAGAAAATATCTACGTGGAAAATTATATTTTGTCGTAATAAAAGAGCACACTATATCTATATACAGGGTGTCAATTAAGTCCCGGGACGGCTGAATATTTTCTCATGTAAGGTATTTTTGAAAAAGGTCAAGGTCATTTCTGAAGTAATTTTCAACGAGGAATTCAACGGTGACCTTTAATTTGACCTTGAGCTTGACCTTCAAGGTCATTTCAAAGTTAGGTTAGGTTTTTTAAATAGAAACCCCCTTTTTTGACACCGGCAATTGAAAGAGCGGGAAATTTTACGTTTAGATATGTACTAAGTCATAGGTAGTGTTTGATCTTGAGGGTCACTCTAAGGTCATTTAAACTCGAGCAAGGTCTGGATATCTTATGAAATAAATGGTTTTCAGTTTTTTTTTAACGACCAAAACTAATAACTTTAATAAGGCGTATTTAGTAGTGACCTAGAGCATAGCATTAAAGATGACCTTCAAGGTTGTTTCAAGGTCAACTTTTTTTATTTACTTTTAGCATTACCCAGGAATAACGACGTGGACGTAGTAAAATCTATTCCCTTTGGGGTGCTTGATTAGCGTGAGTCCCCTTGCCTCTCACGTCCGGGGTGCTTGATTAGCGTGAGTCCCCTCGCCTCTCACGTCCGGGGTGCTTGATTAGCGTGAGTCTCCTTGCCTCTCACGTCCGGGGTGCTTGATTAGCGTGTTTTCTTTCAAGATTCGAAGTTTAGCGCAGATGTTCAAACTGCAAACCTTGAGCTTCTTGACAAAAAGCTATGCGGTTGTAAAAATGAGATACAGCATTACGAATCATCACTCTATCAATTAAAGCGGCCTCTTGCATAATCCGATTCCGCAGTTCATCTAAGTTTTGTTGGTTGAGTGG